AATGATATGTTTAATTTATGTATGTTCGTTATAATGACTAGTTTTATTAGTATGTTCGGTGGTTGTCAATATTACATCATAATATAAAGTTAACCATTGTAATAAATGAAACATGTATTTTATAAGTTATAATTTTCCCCTTTATATAATTTATTATTTCCTTATTAATTTTCATTGAGTTTCATATTTTGATGAATAAATTTTGAGTAATCTTACACTTACAACCTGATTCACAAACTTTCTTCCATAATCTCTATTTGGCATCTCGCAATTTATTAACTTGTAAATTAGTCTCGTATGCTTGTTATGGTTCCTGTTTTTCCTTTTTCAAGTTGACACGTTGAGTTTGTGAGAGAAATTTTTTAAAATTGGTTTGTAAGTAAATTTTTATTGATAAATTTTATTTCAAGGGTAATAAGATTTCCGAATGAATTTTTTATTTTTTATGCCACACACTCAGAAAAAGTGGACTTAGGATTTAGGAAAGGAAACACTTATCTTTGTAGGATAAGACAAAGTTTTAACTTTCATAGTTACCTAAATTAAAATTATAGGAATATGATATATGCATGTGGTGTCTTTGACATTAGTCTATAAAGGAACTTGATGAGTAATGTAACTCTTGACATTTGTAAGGCAATAGCATGATGTCCTTGTATTAATGCAAATGCTCTAAAATTGTTGCCCTAAAATTGAGGCCGTTTTCGTTTGCCAACATTGATGGCAAAATACACTATATAAAGCCCATATCCTTCAATTGAAAAATCACATCCAAGAATCTAGTTTTGTAACAAGAGATAATAGTTTCTATTTAGCCCATGCATTTCTCTTACATCTTTTTCAGCCTCTATACTTTCAGCTATTACATTAAGGTTCTTGTTGATGCGTGATTCTAACACCAACTAATCGACACGTGTGTAACGTTGATTGGTCAAGAGGCACACATGATTATGGATAGAAAATGTGAAATGAATGCAATGAGAGCTTTTTAAAGTGGTTCGGATGCTAAGGTAGCAAGTCCTACGTCCACTGATTTGTATTAGTACTGACTTTGTCTGCCCCACAGAAAGTCAGAGACTCCTCCTCTAGGTGCAAGGAAACGGTCTTCATTTATTATCGCTAACCGTTTGCAAGAAGCAGAAAACCCTCCAGCAGCGTCCACAAACCCATTTCCTGGAGATTAATATCTTACTAAATTAACAGGTATTCAATTGCCTTTATCACTAAGTGCATCCTCTAGCTATTAGCAAAACAGGACCAAATTGAAAAAGTAAATAACTGCACATACTATGCCTTCATATTTGATACCAATAAAGTTGCAGAAATAAATTGAAATAAAAAATTGAAAAAAAAAAAAAAAAAAAAAAAGATTCCCATTCGCAATACAACTAAAAAGCTCATGGCATTCTGAGCATGAAGCAAGGTGAAAGATATATGACCAATTCAATGCCGCTAGCAAGTTGTCAACCTACTCTTGCTACCAAACTCAAGCTATAGCAGTTAGCAATAATCAATTGTTTGAGAAAGGGCTACAAAGCGACTATATAAAACAAAGGATTCTTCTTTAATCAGAGATTTTGTAGTTGAAGAAAATAATGTATCTGAAGAACCATATGTACATATACCTACAAAAAAAAACTATGTTATGCATCATAGTTAGAACAGCGAGCTTCGGGTGAATGTTGAAGTAAACAAGTAAATGAATCATAGACAATGTTGATGCAAGCTATAGATACCAGAGTCTACTATATCACATAAATTGAGTTATCCATTAGCTGTAAAACATGTAGATTATAACAAGCCACAGCAGGCATTCAACTGTGTTAAATTTTCTAATGCCCCCGATTCAATTCCTACTCTGAACTGTCATTAAATGAGGTTGCAGTTGGCTATCCGGCACGGTCTTGAGGATACCAATACAATATAAACAATATGAACCCACTAAAAACCATAAATTGAGCAAATTGAAGCTTGCATCTGCAACCCCTTTCCATGAAAAATGGCATCTGACGCCTAAAATGATACAACAACCAATAACCGTGTGATCATGCACCCAAAAATTAAATAATATGTAGCTTGTAGGAAAATCTTTTAACTCTCTCATACAAAATCCTACGAAACCCAAAACGATTTGACTAAAAAACAACAAAACCATGTCAAAAACTCTAATTTGAAGGTCTACACAGTCTAAACTACCAAATGGTCTGCAAAAAAAATGCTCATTTTCTATGAAGTCAGTCTCAATTCGATACTTAAAACTTAAAAATAGATAAAAGAATTATATTTTTTTACAAATAATCCTTATTTTCTATAGATTCCGTATCAATCTGTGGATTACAAAACTTGAATAACACAATTAGATATATAGCTTAACATTAATTATGAAACTTACTTTTTACTTCAATGGCGGCGAAAGAGAAAGCTTCAAAAGCCACGATCTATATGTGACAGGAATTTGCCTGAAAGCTTCAGATTGAAGAGAGATTTGGCAACTTAGCGATTCAAAATCGTGAGTGTTCTGACTTGCAGAGGGTGCGATCGGGAGAAATTCACCCTTGACACTGAAAAGTTTGATTTATAGTAAATAAGGCTGAGTTGAAAAAAAAAAACCAAATTATAAGGACTTTTTAAAAATAACCCACCTCAAATATTTTGTACTCTTCATTATTTTTTCTGTTTTCCAAATAAGATATTTTTTTTATTATTCGTTCCTCACTCATCACAATATTTCACCTTAATTGTTAAAAAAAAAAAAAAAGAAAAAAAAAATACCAATCCCATGTTTACTGTTTTCATTTTCAAATATTATTTTGTTCGTTGTTTTCATTTTCAAATATTATATGTGCAAGAATGTGCAGATAGCTCAGAACAAGCAATAGTCAGGAGCAAACTCTAGCTTGAAATAACTTGTGAGACGACAATCATATGTAAGTGAGCTGCGGACAAAAGTATGGCGAACTATCCGATTATCTTTCAACCGTGGATAAGTCTTTTCTCCTTAGACATTATACCCTAAAATCAGACATTATCTCCAAATTTAAGGGAAAATCATGGGATCGATTTCACCAATTAAGTTGGCTTCGTTTGGTTCAAGATTGGGAATACTACTCTTAATATTCCCAAAAAGTTAAACGTAAATACCCAAAAACTCTCATTTTTGGGAATACTATTTTCAGTATTATTCATTTTTTTAAACCCTCTAAATTTGTTATTTAATTAAATACCCATAAATATTTTTTTTAAAATTACAAAAACATCCCAACAATCCACATTACCAGATTCCGGCCACCACCGCCGAAAATGGCCATAATCTGGTAGGATGGCGCACTACCGGCTGAATCTGGCCGTAGTGCGCCGATCTACCTTTTCCGCCAGATCCCCTGAAAAGGCCAGATCTTTGGCCGAACAGTCAGTCACGATGGCCAATAAACGGTCGTCGTTGACCATCAACAACGACCGTTTGTGGCCGTCGTTGAGAGCAAATACGGCCAGCTCTGGCGGTTGATGGCCAGATCTGGCCGTAGATCTGGCCTTTGCCGGCCAATCCACCGTGGACTGGCCAGAAAAGGCCATATCGGCACATGACCGCAAGATCCAACCGGTCATGCGCCCATAAGGCGACTCCGGCCACCTCCGGTGGTGGTGGCCGACTGGGGTGTTTGAGGGTGGGTTAGGGGTATTTTTGTTAACTTTTAATGTTTTATTACAGGGGTTTTTTGTAAAAAAACAAACATATGGGGTATTTTATTAATTTATAAATCCTACATCATAATACCCGCCCCATTCAACTTTTTTTTTAACTGGCGGGGAGAGGAAAGGTTTTCGGTAACGGGGCCTTCGGAAAATGGGTGGGGAAGTGCGATAGCTTTGCAAAAGACCCCTTTTTTTGCCCTTTTATGAGAGAGATGAAGACAGGAAGAGAGAGAGGAGAGAGGCTTTCGATCTGGCCATATTCTGGTGCCGGGTTCTTGCCTAGTGACTGGAGGAAAAAGAGGGAGAAGGAAGGGAAGAAGAAGCAGGGAGACAATCAGAGAAAGATAAGAGACAGAAAGGGGAGAAGAAGACGAAGGATAAGATATTGGGCATATTTTTTTAATATTTTATTAATGTAATTTTTTTAACTTTTTTTATTATGCACAAACCTTAAAGCACAAAAAGTCAAAATTAACCCCACAAAAATGATAGAATATCGATAATACCATTTTAGTTAATAGATTTACTAACTTATTTGGACGGAAAGTGGGTATTTGTCATTTCAAAACCTTTTGGATATCAATTTGTCTTTAAAGCAAATTCTGGATAGGTGTCAGTCGTTCCCCCAAATTTTGAAAGCAAACTGATTTGCCAACGGTGTTGATAGTGCCATATCATATGCCATGTCAGCTGTGTTTATTGAATATCTATTATTTGACTCTAGCTTTCCTAAGAAGCACTTTGCAACCTATCACAACATTTGTGCTAAAACGAGGAATTAAGAGACACCACGTAACAATGCCGATTCGTCCATCACAACACATCAGTTTGAAATAAAGTTTTTAAGAGTAGCGTTACCATAAAAGTAGATGAAAATGACAATACCAACACAACTGCTACATTAGTTTATAGTTCATATAAGAGTTTATAGATATAGGATTACTGTAACAGTAAACAATTTCAACTTGGACGATACCTTCTTGATATCATCAAAAAGACATATTGATCCATCACAGCTACAAATAAAGGTAACCTCGGGAATTAGTTGATGTGCGAGTAAACTATCCCGAACACCCTGGTCATAAAAAAATTAAAAAAAAAGCCTGCCCAATCAAACATAATTTCTGATGGCATCAATTATTATGGCACAAATGATATGTTGTGCAACAGAGACATCATTCTGCCGCAAAAGGTCAGAAAGAGTCGAGGATTAAAACATTTGAATGATCAAGTAACACTACTTATGAACAATACCGAAGCATAGGCATCGCAGACGTAGAAGGTCACAAAAAGGTCTTGAGATCAAATTCATGACACATAATATGGTGTTGCTAAGGAACACCACATACAGTCGAAAAACTTGGTACTCAGTGAATAATAGGGTGAAAAAACTATTTCAACAACATAAAAAACAGAACTGAAAATTCCAAATTTCATATCATCTCCATTCCCACACCTTAACAATGTTAATGAGGCTTAAAATACAACCCCTAGTGGTTCATTATACAAAAAAATGTTTACTTGGAAATAATTTCTTGAATTTTCTGAATGGAATTCTTCCGCAGACCTTTTCACAGGTTCCCCTTTTTGCAATTTGATTTTAAAAGTCCTGCAACCAAAAAACTCATCAGAAAAAAAAAGTACACTCAAATTGATTTTACCAGCATGAATTTGATTCAGGTAACAAGCACTGAAAACTCTGTAGCATGCAGACTACTAATACACAGGAGACAATAGAGAAGACAAGAACTCCAAAAGAAAGTGATAGCAGAAACAAGGGTCAAGAATAAAAGAATAAATCAAGGTAGCAGACAGAGTTTTTGTTAAAAAAAAATTGAATAATTAACTCTTCTTCTGGTTAGAGAGAATCTCCTAATCGTTATCCACTCTATCATTCCTAGGAAAAGAAATCCATGATTGGACATAAGAGGTAGAAGAGAGATTGACTTTTCGATACCATCTAAGCAACTGGTCACTGCAGTGTCATTATATTGTTAATTCTTCACTCTACGCTCAGTTTGGAAGTATATTCTAATCCCAGCTTAATTATTTCATAAATAACCAAAGAAACAACAACTGCATATTCCAATAAGCCAAATGCCTACCACGTCTTGCCAACTTAACAAACAATTTTTGTCATAACACTTAATATAAAATTGTATTTTGCTACTCTAAACAAGTCTAACCTTGGTTTCAGAGTTTCAGTCTAATTTAAAAAATTACAGCTCAAATATCACAGTCGACAAACACTGGCTTTTCATTTATTGTCTTAACATCTTTAACACTTCAATGGCAACTTGACAGCAACCTTTTCAGATCAATATTAACATGAGTATTAACATAAGACAATGCCAGCCTACAGAAAGGAGATGGGCTACCCATAACCAATTTTGCATTTTAAAATGGTAGAAAGGGTAGATAATAAATACAGGTAAGACACTGGAGCTAGACTAAATTATGTGTGCTTACAGGGATCTTACCTTGTGAAGAATCACCCAGATACCAATTTTACAACAATACAAATCGTATTGAGGAGTATAAGAGGAAATCTCATATACTGGGTTGCATAAATGAGACCTATGATCTGTCCCTTTAATGACTTTGTCTGCCCCGCAGAAAAGTCAGAGAAACTCCATCCTCTAGGTGCAAGGAAGCGGTCTTCATTGATTATCGCTAATCCGTTTGCAAGAAGCAGAAAACCCTCCAGCAGCGTCCACAAACCCATTTCCTGGAGATTAATATCTTACTAAATTAACAAAGTATTCAATTGCCTTTATCACTAAGTGCATACTCTAGCTATTAGCAAAACAGGACCAAATTGAAAAAGTAAATAACTGCACATACTATGCCTTCATATTAGATACCAATAGAGTTGCAGAAATAAATCGAAATAAAAAAAATAAAAAATAAAAGATTCCCATTCGGAATACAACTATATAAAAGCTCATGGCATTCTGAAGCATGAAGCAAGGTGAAAGATATGATGACCAATTCAATGCCGCTAGCAAGTTGTCAGACCTACTCTTTGCTACCAAACTCAAGCTATAGCAGTTAGCAATAATCAATTGTTTGAGAAAGGGCTACAAAGCGACTATATAAAACAAAGGATTCATTCTTTAATCAGAGATTTTGTAGTTGAAAAAAATAATGTATTTGAGAAACCATATGTACATATTACCTACTAAAACAAAACATATGTATGCATCATAGTTAGACAGCGAGCTTCGGGTGAATGTTGAAGTAAACAAGTAAATGATTCATGGTACAAGTGTTGGATGCAAGCTATAGATACCAGAGTCTATCTATGCACATAAATTGAGTAGTCCATTAGCTGTAAAACATGTAGATTTATAACAAGAGCACAAGCAGGCATTTAACTGTGTTAAATTTTCTAATGCCCCCGATTCAATTCCTACTCTGAACTGTCATTAAATGAGGTTTGCAGTTGGCTATCCGGCACGGTCTTGAGGATACCAATACAATATAAACAATATGAACCCACTAAAAACCATAAATTGAGCAAAATTGAAGCTTGCATCTGCAACCCCTTTCCATGAAAAATGGCATCTGACGCCTAAAATGATACAAACACCAATAACCGTGTGATCATGCACCCAAAAATAAAAAAAATAAATAAATAAAACAATCCAAGTTCTAATCCTAACATGTAGCTTGATAGTAAAATCTTTGAACTCTTTCATATCAAAATCCTACGAGGAACCCAATACGATTTGACTAAAAAACAACAAAACCCATGTCAGAAAAACTCTAATTTGAAGGTCTACACAGTCTAAACTACCAAATGGTCTGCAAAAAAATGCAATCATTTTCTATGAAGTCAGTCTCAATTCGATACTTAAAACTAAAAAACAGATAAAAGAATTTTTTTTTTTTTACAAATAGTCCATTATTTTCTATAGATTCCGTATCAATCTGTGGATTACAAAACTTGAATAACACAATTAGATATATAGCTTGACATTAATTATGAAACTTACTTTTTACTTCAATGGCGGCGAAAGAGAAAGCTTCAAAGCCATCGATCTTATGTGACAGGAATTTGCCTGAAGCTTCAGATTGAAGAGAGATTTGGCAACTTAGCGATTCAAAATCGTGAGTGTTCTGACTTGCAGAGGGTGCGATCGGGAGAAATTCACCCTTGACACTGAAAATTTGATTTATAGTAAATAAGGCTGAGTTGAAAAAAAAAAACCAAATTATAAGGACTTTTTAAAAATAACCCACCTCAAATATTTTGTACATCTTCAATTATTTTTTCTGTTTTCCAAATAAGATATTTTTTTATGTATTCGTTCCTCACTCATCACAATATTTCACCTTAATTGTTAAAAAAAAAAAAAAGAAAAAAAAAATACCAATCCCATGTTACTGTTTTCATTTTCAAATATTATTTTGTTCGTTGTTTTCATTTTCAAATATTATTATGTGCAAGAATGTGCAGATAGCTCAGAACAAGCAATAGTCAGAGCAAACTCTAGCTTGAAATAACTTGTGAGACGACAATCATATGTAAGTGAGCTGCGGACAAAAGTATGGCGAACTATCCGATTATCTTTCAACCGTGGATAAGTCTTTATCTCCTTAGACATTATACCCTAAATCAGACATTATCTCCAAATTTAAGGGAAAAAATCATGGATCGATTTCACCAATTAAGTTGGCTTCGTTTGGTTCAAGATTGGGAATACTACTCTTAATATTCCCAAAAAGTTAAACGTAAATACCCAAAAACTCTCATTTTTGGGATACTATTTTCAGTATTATTCATTTTTTTAAACCCTCTAAATTTGTTATTTAATTAAATACCCATAAATATTTTTTTTAAAATTACAAAACATCCCAACAATCCACATTACCAGATTCCGGCCACCACCGCCGAAAATGGCCATAATCTGGTAGGATGGCGCACTACCGGCTGAATCTGGCCGTAGTGCGCCGATCTAGCCTTTTCCGCCAGACCCCCCCTGAAAAGGCCAGATCTTTGGCCGTAACATCAGTCCACGATGGCAATAAACGGTCGTCGTTGACCATCAACAACGACCGTTTGTTGGCCGTCGTTGAGAGCAAATACGGCCAGCTCTGGCGGTTGATGGCCAGATCTGGCCGTAGATCTGGCCTTTGCCGGCCAATCCACCGTGGATCTGGCCAGAAAAGGCCATATCGGCACATGACCGGCAAGATCCAACCGGTCATGCGCCCATAAGGCGACTCCGGCCACCTCCGGTGGTGGTGGCCGACTGGGGTGTTTGAGGGTGGGTTAGGGGTATTTTTGTTAACTTTTAATGTTTTATTACAGGGGTTTTTTGTAAAAAAACAAACATATGGGGTATTTTATTAATTTATAAATCCTACATCATAATACCCGCCCCTCAACTTTTTTTTTAACTTTTTTCAAAAACTTTTCCCAAAACCCCCAAATTTTGAACCAAACGGAGCCGTTATAATCCCCAAAATCACTCTTCTAACCATTACCAACTATCAACTCAGTAGTATATAAACCCCCTTAAATCATTGTAAAAGATTAGAACCCTCAGAGTTAACAACTTTAAATAAGAGCTTATTCTTGTAATCACAATACAATAATAAGATAACATAAATAAGTTTGACAGTTGAACGTGCTGAACCGCTTTAAAAAAGTACATGGGCATTAATTATCATCAGCTTCTTTTCTTTGCTAATTATCCCTAATTATGCAATCATTATATCTAATTCCTTCAAGGTCAATCATATAACTCTGGTTGTTGCAAGATTTCGTAATAACATTTATTTTACAAAATAAGAAATGTACTCATTATCATTTTCAAATATTATTTTTACGCAATCACAATAAATGTATTTTCAAATTTTGAGATGCAATTAATTTTTACATTTCTTTTTTTTTTAATCCTTTTTAAAATAGAAACACTAAAAATATTTATGACACCCACTTATCAACTCTTGAATAAAAAAGAAGAGGGGGGAGGGGGGGGGGGGGGGGGGGCGTTTGAAGATGGGGGGATTGTTAGTGGTATATAAATAAGAATTTATATACTACTGTTTTTTTATAACATATGAATGGAAATTGGAAAAATAATTGGTGTGTTTGTTTTATTATTTGGATATGATTTTTGAAAGTAAGAGTTGTGTGGTTATTATGAGGTAGGATTTAAAAACTAATAAACACTCCCTAGGTTTGTTAACTTAGCTAAACCCCTTACAATAAAACATTAAAAATGAACAAAAACACCCCACCCACCCATTAAATGTTGCAGTCGGCCACCACCGAAGGGTAGCCAGAGTTGTTGTATCGGTTGGATCTAGCCAGTCATATACCGATATGCCATCTTTCGGTATATCCATCGTGGATCTGGCTGAAAAAGGCCAATCTGGCCACGTTAGGTCGACAATGACGGCCAAAGATATGGCCAAAGATCTGATATTTTTTCAGTAAAATCCATGATAGATCTAGTTGAAAAAGGCTAAATCGTGCACTTCGGCCAATTCACAGATAGTATGCCATTATACTAGATTTCGGTCACCTTTCGATGGTGGTGATGAAATCTGTAAATGTGGGTGGGTGGGGGTGTTTTGTTAATTTTTAATTTTTTTTAGTGTTTAGTTTTAAATTAATACTATAAGTTTAAAAATATTAAATAAGTAGAATAGATTTAGGAAAAAAAATATATGGTTTAGGTAGGATAGGGATAGATAGTGCCAATAGTTTACAATATGTGGCACCTTAATGCTTAGTGTCATGTCACATGTAACTGCATGGCATTGGATGATACATGTCAGTGACATGTGTAGCAATGTGGCAATCAATCATTGGCTCCCAAATCTTATAGACAGCTACTTCATTTGTAACCTACAACTTCACCGGATTGTGAAGCTTTGATATTTGAAGACATAACTCTTGGCAAGTTGTGATCTAATTTTTTTCCTCTTTATTTCATATTTTTATAATATTTTACAATACTTAATTAGCATGATGAACAATTTGGTACGTCTAGGCTATCTTACGCTATTGTATGATGATCATTTTGGCACGTCTTAGCTTTATTATCGTTATATATTTTATTTATTAATGAAATGTTTAATTTATGTATGTTCGTTATAATGACTAGTTTTATTAGTATGTTCGGTGGTTGTCAATATTACATCTATATAAAGTTAACCATTGTAATAATGAAACATGTATTTTATAAGTTATAATTTTCCCCTTATATAATTTATTTATTTCCTTATAATTTTCATTGTGTTTTATATTTTGATGATAAATTTTAGTAATCTTACACTTACAACTTAATTCACAAACTTTCTTCCATAATCTCTATGTGGCAACTCGCAATTGATTAACTGGTAAATGATCCCGTATGCTCGTTAGTATCCTGTTTGTCCGATTACAAGTTGACACTTTGAGGTTGTGAAGAAATTTGTAAAATTGGGTTGTAAGCAAATTTTTATGATAAATTTTATTTCAAGGGTATAAGAATTCCGAATGCATTTTTAATTTTTTGTGCCACCACACTCAGAAAAAGTGGACTTAGGATTTAGGAAAGGAAACACTTATCTTTGTAGGATAAGACAAAGTTTTAACTTTCATAATTAAAATTATAGGAATTGATATATGCATGTGGTGTCTTTGACATTAGTCTATAAAGGAACTTGATGAGTAATGTAACTCTTGACATTTGTAGGCAATAGCATGATGTCCTTGTATTAATGCAAATGTCCTAAAATTGAGGCCCTTTTCGTTTGTCACACATGGATGGCAAAATACACTATATAAAGCCCATACCTTCAATTGAAAAATCACATCCAAGAACTAGTTTTGTAACAAGAGATATAGTTTCTATATAACCCATGCATTTCTCTTATACCTTGTTTCACCCCTCTATACTTTCAGCTATTACATTAAGGTTCTTGTTGATGCGTGATTCTAACACCAACTAATCGCCACGTGTGTACGTTGATTGGTCAGAGGCACACATGATTATGGATGAAATGTGAAATGAATGCAATGAGACTTTTTAAAGTGGTTCGGATGCTAAGGTAGCAAGTCCTCGTCCCTGATTTGTATTAGTAATGTGGGTCAGGTCGCAACAGCGGACTGACTTACAAAATGTTATGAAAGTAAATACAAAGCTTTCAAGAGAGAGAGAGTGTTCCAGTGTCAAATGGCCGAATCCCCTTAATGAAGGGGTCTTCTCCTTTTTATAACCAGATGAGGGCGTGTAATCATCATTAAATCCATGGGTTGTGTGAGTGTCAGGACATAATCCGGCTTTACGTCCCATTGCCCACTTCCCAAGCTGATTTCACGCGTTTTATTGCAGGGAAATGGACACGTGGGAGCTCCATAGCTGTTTGACAGACCTGACTTGCACTTACCGTTCTGACAGAGCAGGTCACACTCTCATCACCTGACTCCCCACGTCAGCCCTTGATTTCCCAGGCATAACAGAAGTCTCCTAGTTTTTAAGGTTTGAGATCGAATCTTGGAAACTAAGTCATGCCGTGATTGGAGTTTCTGGCAATTCCGGCCAAGAGGTTAAGAAGAGGAAGCATTCAGGTCGACGATCAGAGACCGAATCAGGAAGAACCCTTGAGGTCGCGACAGGACTCAAGAAGGAGTCGGGCAAGGAACCCGCGGACGAGACGATCGCTGCCGACAAGGCAAAGGACGCCAGTGTTGGACTCGTTGGGGAGCCTGCCGATGTCCTGCAGCTGATAGTCTATTCTCTGCTCGGTGTGGGCTATCGGAGTCATATGATGAGTTCGCCGTACGAGCGACGACCTTGACCACGTCGTTCCAACATCTAAGCAAGGTAAGCGACTGCTCTTAAAGTTTGTCCGCCGTTTTCATTCTAATTCACTTCTTGCTCGCAGGCTTTGCTTGCGATAGGATGTCTATGGAGAAGACTCAGATGGGCGCGAAAGGGGCAAGCGACCTAAGGAAGAGGTCGCGAAGCTCAAACAGAGCCTGGAGTCCGTCGAAGTGAAAGAACGCAAGCATTTGAAGCGACGAACAGGTACCTAAACCAAAAGGA